GCACTTATTTAACGATACAAAAATCTAGGTGTTGCTATAAAACAGAAAATATCGTATTTTCTGGGGAAATTATTCATATATACTTATCAGTTATTCAAAATACAATGAATCTTAACTACATTCATATAAGTTATAACTATGAAATTCACACATGCATTTATACTTGATTTTCACATCATTTTCAGACAATTTACAGAAAATATCGGATTTTCTGGGTTTTTTTTATGAAAGATACAAAAACTTTTACTCAAACATACTTATGAACTCACCAACATTATATATTTTGACCATTTTCAAAATAACTTGTATTCTCAGGTAATCGTTAAGCTGGAAGATATGCAAGTGTGTATGGTTTTGTTTATGTAACCTCACTTATCGTACTTTGAACAATTAGAACTTATGTAATTTAACAATGTACTTGATGTGAACTATGTTGGTTGTATTATGTAATGTTGGTGATGAATGTGTTATGTTTCATGTATATTCATTGTGATGATAATTCAATTGTTAGTCACACGAGCCTCCAGAAGTTTCCACCGTCTGGTTCGGGGGTGTGACATTCCCTGTCAGAATAATGTCATCAACATACACATGCATGTAAAGGAGTGTACCATGAGTCGTGTAGATAAATAGAGATGGATTTGTTTTGGAGCCTTGGAAGCCGAGAACAAGGAGAGCTGAGGAGAGCCGATGAAACCAAGCTCTCGGTGCCTGCTTGAGACCGTAGAGAGATTTGTGGAGAAGGAAAACATGATCCAGTTTATGAGGATCCACAAAGCGTTGAGGTCGTTCTAAATACATTGTTTCTTTTAGGTCGCCATGTAAAAATGTGTTTTGGACATCAAGTTGTCAGGAGTCCACTATTTTGTAACTGCAAGAAAGCGAACAACTCTAATGGTGGTGGATTTCACCACTGGACTAAATGTCTCTGTGTAGTCAATTCTCGGCTGTTGTTTGAAACCTTTTGCAACAAGACACGCTTTGTAGCGCTGAATCGTCCCATGTTGATCCCGTTTGATCTTGTAGACCCATTTGCAACCTACAATATTGGAACCAGGAATATGAGGACTAATGACCATGTGCGGTTCCTGAGCAATGTTGAGTATTCACCAGTCATTGCCTTACGCCAATGACAATCTTTGTTAACATCGGCAAAAGTGGAGGGTTCTGGGGTAGTAGTGGTGTGGAAGGCTGAGGGATCAAAGGGTTTGGTTTGTTTGGGATTTTGGCGGAGATGAGCAGGTCGGGGAAGACGAGTAGGTTTGGTTTGGGTGATGTTGGGTTGGGTTTCAGGGCTGTCGGGACTATTTTGAGGGCTATAAGGGCTATTTTAAGGGCTAGTGAGATTGGTTTGAGGGATGGTGGGACTATTTTGGGGTTGTTTTCGTTCTTTTGAGATGTGGCAAAGCAATCGAATGCTGAAGTTTGATGTGAAGGGGTGGGTGTGTTGTGGCGACACGAGTAGGTTTGAGTTGGAATGGTAATGGGAGTAGTGGGGATAAGTGTATGAATAGGTTTTGAGGTTGGATAGGATAAGATATAGGGGTTTGATGGTTTGGTGGGTGAGGAGTTAGGTGATGGTGTAGAAAAGGGAAACGAATGTTCATTGAAGCGAACATGACGATCAATGTAGAGATACTCGGATTGAGGGTTGAAGCATTGATAGCCTTGATGGAGAATGCTATAGTCATGAAAAATGCAAGAGATAAATCGAGAATCCATTTTATTGAAATTATACGATTGAAGATGAGGATAGCATTGGCATCCAAACACACGAAGGAAAGAGAAATAGGGTTTTGTTTAATGAGAATTTCAAATGGACAGATGATAGAGTTGGATCGGGAGGGCATACAATTTATGAGGTAGACTGCGGTTTCAAAGGCAAAGTACCAAAAACGCTGAGGAACATGAGATTCTGTCATGAGGGTGAGGCCGGTTTCGGTAACGTGATGGTGACGTCTTTCAACGATTCTATTCTGTTCGCTAGTATGAGGGCACGAAAGATGGTGAATGACACCGACCGAAGAGAAAAAGCCAGATAGTTTTTGAAACTCCCATCCCCAATCAATTTGAACAAATTTGAGTTTAGTAGAGAATTAGCGTTCAACCATTTTTACAAAGTGTGTAAAAGCATTGAATACATCAAATTTATGTTTTAAAGGAAACAACCACATGAATTTGGAGAAATGATCAACACATAAAAGAAAATAAGAATGGCCATCGAAGGAGGTCATGGGTGCGGGACCACAAACATCAGGAAAAAAAAACAAGGTCTAAAACATGAGTGTTTTTATAAGAAGAAAATTACAAATTAAGTTTGGAAGACTTGCCAATAGAACAAGCATTACAATGAAAAGCAAAATTTTTATTGGAAACAATTAAACAATATTTAGAAAGCATAGATTGAAACAGCTGAGAGTGAGGATGCCCAAGACGTTGATGCCATGTGGTTGTGCGTGCACGAGTTGTAGAGAAAGCGACTTTGGGACGTGGAAGAGTTGTAGGAAGCTTTATTGAATAAATGCCACCATCACTTGGACCCGTGAGGAGGATAGTGTGAGTATTCGAATCCTTGATAACAAAAAAAATGAAGCGTGAAATTCAAAATAGACATGATTATCAAGGCAAAATTTTTGGACAGAAAGAAGATGTTTCTTGATATCAGGGACATGAAGGATGTTGTCTAGGTGAAAAGTTTTGGTAGGTGAGTAAAGTTTTGAAAAACCAATGTGAAGGATAGGAAGGGCCTTACCATTGCCAACATGCAGATTGTCATCACCATAGTAAGATGTGGCTGAAGTGAAACCAGTCATGTCTGCTGCCACATGATTGCTAGAGCTTGTGTCCGGAAGCCAAGACATAGAGGTGGTTGTTGAACGATTATTTGTATAGTTTGTGGATGGTTGTTGTCTTCCCCGAATGGTGGATGGATCGCGGTTTGGGCATTTGGATGGAATATGACCAATCCCACACCTGTTACAAGTGACATACACAGTGTTTTGGTTAGAAGCCCAATTGAACTGATTTGAATTTCGTTGTCCTCCTCCTTAATTACAATTTCCGCGTCCACCACGGTTACGAGACCCACCTCGGTTTCTGTTGTTACTAGGAGATCCAGAGTTATTTGTGTAGTATGGTTGAGGACCCTATGTAGATAATGCAGTAGGCGTAGGCTGGAGTTGAAATCCAAGACGAGACACAAGATGTTGCATGACCTGAATTGTATCTGCCGGAAGAGAAGCTCCGGTGGTTGTGTTGACAGCAAAGGCTTAAGTCGGAGGAACCTCGGAAACTAGTTTTTAACCCATAAACTCATGATCAGCCAAGAGTGCAGGAAGTTCGGAAAAGACGGTGGTAAACTACTTGGAAAGAAGACTTTTTTTGACTTCGTTGTACTCATCCCGAAGACCTGCAACAACTAACATAACAATATCTTTGTCTGACATGGGCTGCCCAATGTTAGCAAGAGCAGTGACATACTCTTGCGCTCTAGTGAGATAGGCAGCAGAAGTCTCATCACCCTTCATTTGTATCTTCAACAATTCTGTTTTTAACATAAATTCCATTGATGACATGTTAGGAGCATAAGCACGTTCAAGGGTTAGCCATAGATCACGAGAAGTTGTACCTTGGACATGTTGGAATGATACTTCTGATATGGTTGACATGAGGAGCATACAAACATGTGCATCATTTGAGATCCAGACTGAATGACTAGGATTGGATGTAGTAGTGACGGGATCTCCTTCTTTACCTGGTGTTGTGACCAGAGGTGTAGGGCATGGGATTGTGTCATCAACATAGCCAAAAAGATTGTTGGTGATGAGAAATGGTTGAATCATAACCTTCCAATATCCATAGTTTGTAGGAGAAAGGGTGAAACCAAACTTATAGGAGTTGTGAGATGTCTTTTCTGCGAAAGAGAATGCAATGAGAGTAGTCATGATGAAGAGAAGTAGCGGAAAAAAGGTGGTGGTAGCAGGTGGTAGGCGGCAGCAGCAGGGAGGCAGGTGACGGTTGGATTATGGTTAGGGACTTAGGGTTAGGTTAAGAGGTGCCAATATTTAGAGAGATAATTATTGGCTCTGATACCAAGTTAAACTTGGTAATTGTATATTGCATTCATTAAGGGAAAATATTACAGTGTATATATAGACTACACATTTACAAAGGACCCTCTAATATAAACATTTATCGAACATTTAATGCAGTAAAACAACGAGTAAGATATTCATTTGATTTAAGTTAATAAAAATTAGAAAACTATCTACTATCATCATTTTATCTTTTTTATTTGTTTCAATTTCTTCTTTTAGATTATTCATATTCTTAATTAGAAGGAATACAGAAAACGGTGCTAAGCTGATGTATGGGTAATCACATCTTCATCAGTTGTAATTTAGAACACTGTGATCTGCGAAAAGAGAAAATAAATGACTTGATTTAAGAATTAACACTACAAGGATCGAGCCCTATGCAGACGGCAATTAGGGACCCTTTACCGACGACATGTCGTCGGTAAAGCTTATACCGACGACATGTTGTCTATAAAAAGTCGTCGGTACAGATCCGTCGGTAAAAGTCGAAAATGTCGTCAGGACAGGAGTCGTCGGTATAGAGTAACTATTCCAAACGATAAGTCGTAGGCAAAGGATCGTCGGGATTGATTTTTGAGGAAATAAGAAAAAATTTTATTTGGGACCTATACCGACGACTTGTCGTCGGGAAACGTGAGAACTTATACCGACGACTTGTCGTCGGGAAAAGTCTGTGTAATACCGACGATATGTCGTCTGGAAAGGTGAAAACCGTTTTTACCGTTACGAAGCTGTACCGACGACATGTCGTCTGTATAGCCTGGTTTTTTTTCACAGCTTTTTTTATATACCAAATCTGTTTCTTAAAACAAATTCAAAATAGATATTTGCGGAATAATATAAATATAACATAACATAACATACCATTAAAATCCAAAAACACTTAATAAACCTAACATACCATTAAAATCCAAAAACACTTAATAAACCTAACATACCATTCAAATTCTATTACACACCATATCATTCATATTCTACTACATAACCAAAAAAGCAAGTTTTTAACAAACATTGTCGTCACTATCGTTCTAGTTCTCCTCCTCCTCCTCCTCCTCATCATCATCATCATCACCACCATCACCAACATCATCATCATCATCATCATCATCATCCTCTTCGTGTTCATTGGATGTTTCGGGGTTATTTTGTGAAAACATATTGGGATTAAACTGGAATTGTGGCATTGGTTGTGGTTGGAAGTTTGGAATGACGGACGCGAAAGTGTTATTAAACATTTGGTTCATTTGTAGCATTTGTTGTTGCATGATTTGAATTTGTTGGGATAATACAGCAACTTGGGGATTATCTGAACATTGGGATGTGGAAGCTTGGGAATGTTTGGTATGTTCATTTGGAAATAAATTATTGTTGATGCTTGGTTTCCTTCCAATTCCGCGCATATGCCCACGTCTCTCACCGAGGGCACGAGCGAGACATTGTTCTTCATTTAGCTTTTTGTTCTCACGAAGCTCTGACTGCATCAACATCTTCTCTCATTGAATGTTTTCCTAAAATAAAGAAAACAATAAAATTACATTAATTAAAAAAAATAACTAAATTTATACACTAAAATAATAATAATATACCTTAAACTAACTATAATGATAATAATAACATATTTATCAAACAACTTATTAACTTCATTTATTACTTACTCAAACTACTTCTGCTTGCGGTGTACACCAACCCCAACTTTCTTTAAATCGCATTTGTCTCCAACCATCGATATGTTGCCGGTCTTCTCCTTTTTCTGTCTATAATAAGCCAAAAACAATTAATATATTTATATAAGTGTTAAAAAAAATTTATAAAATACAAATAAATTTAATTACCTCCTCACGTCGTCTGTCTGCATATGTTCTACTTCCATGAGAACTCGTAATTTGAAGTTTGGACCTGCTTTCTTTACATTCTTTTCACTGCTTCCTATAACCCTCATCCAAAAAAAGAAGATCAATCATATTATCCCAAGCTTCGTCGTCCATATCATCCGGTGGACATTGTCTAGCACCTTTAACATCATTATACCCACCAACACTATCAAAAGAATTTTTCACTTCATGTTTGTGCTCTTTATAAGCTCTTTGACAGTCGCTCTGTACAGTCGCTCGAACGGCTTCCCACAGATTTGTACCCCGATACATATCAAGATTAAAATATGTCTGCAATAAAAAAACAAATTTAATTAGTAAAAAAATTATTTAAAAAGTATAATTTTTTCACATATAAAAGGTATTTTGTACTTACTTGAATCTCAAGATACATAGCTTCATAGTAATGGAAAGGAACACGTCTCCAATTCCTATAATGGAGTGGTACATGATCTGCCACAAAGTTTGAGATAAACCTTGTTAACATTTTGCCATTTGTATTTATGAATCTATAGGTCCCCCCTATGATATCAATATCCACAGGTAAAGGTTGGCCGCTGTGCTTGAACTTTTTTCACATATTTAAGCATCTTCCTTTTCCACGTCGACGCATCGGGTTTGCTACATTGACACATAGAACTAAAAATTTAGAAATTTAAAACTTTAAAAATATATCCAATATATTTATGAATTTCATGTAACTTACAAGATTGGCAACCCATCGGTATCTTGCATGCACGCTTATGTGGAGGTCGTTCCCCGCCGTCTCCTCCATGCCCCCTCGCAACATGTGTAGCCATCTATTTAACAAATATTAGAAAATATACTAAACATACATAAAAAAAACTAATAAACAATTTTAAGCAATCAAAATGTATAACAACCGTAACATACCATCAATCAGAATCATCACTAGAACAATATACATGTACAACATCATCATTAATAAATTCGTCATCATTTATGAAATCGTCATCATTATCTGAAGAGTACGTATCACCACCATCAAGGTCATCATTAAAAAAACTGTCATCATTTATAGTAGGAGCCACACTTGATTCACCATCGTCATCATTATCTAAAAAGTACATATCATCACCGTCAACGGAGTATGTATCATCATCATCATCACCTAAATTGACAGCCAAGGGAAAATCATTTGATCGAGTGTCATTCACCACATCTATCTCATTAACACCGATACTTGGATGATCCCAAAGTTTTCGATGATGAACATCTTCCACAACTCTTCGGTTATTATTTCGAGTAGGATCTTGGAGATAAAACACTTGTTTAGCTTGAGTGGCTAAGATGTATTGTTGATAGTCATACCATGTTTTACCGAAATACCATTCATGACTGATCGATAACAACCATATTCTTTTTACTAATTACACGTCCATTACCTAATGACGCATTGAACCATTTACCACGAAAGAGTACAACTGAATAACCATGTAAATAGTGCAACTCTATGATGTCCCCCAGTTGACCGTAGAATGGTGTACCGTCTACTCCTAATGTAAGAATGCCACTATTTTGAGTAGTACGTTGGAGATCACGGCTAATCACAACAAATCGAACACCATTTACTATGCAGGCGGTGTAAGAAGTTGCATCTAACGGACCATGTGCTAACGCCTTTAATTCGTTAGTACAGTCCGAAGGTGATTCTCTTTCGAGGCGATAAATCTATAAGGAAATATAATATTATACATTTAAGTAATAATATAAATTAGTTCTATATTATAAATTATAATATAAGGTATTTACCTTTCTTTTGAACCATGGAGGGAATTCTGTTTTCAAATCACTTTCAGGCGATTCTGATTTGAATTCGCTGGATGTGAGATAAAACAATTAGAATAGTTTGAAGATATGATAGCACTATCGGAAAAGTAGTTAATAGATCACAAAACTTACGATATGTAGCCTTTCAGCTCATCCTCATCGCAATTGTTTAGTACAAACCAATGCAATGATTTTTTTGGCATTTTTACAAAGTTCGGCGAGCTTCTTAGTGGACATCGGTCTACATTGTGATGAGAACACATTAAATTGCCTTTTTGGAAGGCCAGGATCCTCATTTCTAACAACACGATTGAATTTCGTTTGCATACCCTCAAGATACATAAAGCAGAATGTCAAAGCTTCGTCTGCAACATAACCCTCTGCTATTGAGCCTTCTGGCTTGGCTTTGTTTCTGACAGAATTTTTAAGTTTTTTCATGTATCTTTCAAAAGGATACATCCATCTCATGTGTACAGGCCCTCCAAGAATGGATTCTTCAGGTAAATGAAGAATTAGATGAATCATGATGTCAAAAAATGCTGGAGGATATATCAACTCAAGATTGCATAAATTGTTCACCACTTTTTTTCTGGCATTTCTCATGTCGTTAACATCTAATGACCGTGCACAAATTTTTTTGAAGAATGTACACAAGTCAATGATTGTTGTTGAAACATTTTCTGGGAGAAATGCTTGAACCCCTATATGCAGCAATCGTTACATGAGGATGTGATGATCGTGAGACTTTAACCCAACCAAATTTAATGCAGTATCATTCACCTTCTTATTAAAGTTCGATCCAAAACAATCACGTAGCCTCACTCCTTTAATGAATTGACAGAATCATTGTCGATCAATTGGTTTAAAGGAGTAATCAGCATGTGGTAGTGTTATTTTCTTCTTGTTGTCTTCCTTCTTATTACTGACTTTCTTCCTCTTGTTGACTTTCTCTTTTGGCCATTGATCTGGCCGAATGCCCATATTTTTCAAGTCTTCTCTTGCTTCTTTTTTGTCTTTGGTTTTTTCATTCATCAATGCAGTATTTACAAAATTCCCGTCCATATTTTTCTCCACATGCATAAAATCTATATTGTGTTTTAGCTCGAGGGAAGACCAATACTCGAGATCAAAAAACATACTACGTTTCGTCCAATTCAACTCTTTTTTTCTTGTTTCATCATTGCGCTTTCTTGTTGCACCCCCGTGCTCAGGAAGTTTCCCTGGAATACAATCAGGGAGACAAGTCAATTGCTTTAATATAGTTGTATTGTTGAATCGTCTATGACCAACATAAGACATCTTGTTGGTGACATGAATGGAAGATGTGTCTGCGTTACAAGTAGGACATGCTAAATAACATTAACCACTCCATCCAGACAAACTTCTACGTGCTGGAAAATCATTGATAGTCCATAACAACATCGCACGCATGTTGAATACGATGTTGGTTGATGCATCTCTCATTTGGAATCCTTCAGCCCACAACATTTTAAACTCATCCACCAAAGGCCTCAATGTTCATTGAGGGTGATTTAGGGCCAGGAATCATCAATGTTAGCATGAAAGAAGACTCTTTCATACATATCCATGGTGGTGTATTGTAGGTAGTTAATATAACCGACCAAGTACTATAAGTACTATTGAAGTTGTCGAATGGATTGAAGCCATCAGTAGCCAAACCTAGACGAACATTTCTAGGTTCTTTAGCAAACTCTGGATATCTTTGATCAAAATCTTGCCATGACTTCCCATCAACCGGATGATACATCATACCATCTATTGAGCGTCTAGTATTATGCCAACTCATATCTTTAGTTGTGAATCTGGAGCTATACATTCGTCGAAGTCTTGGAGTCAAAGGAAAGTATTGCAACACTTTTTGTGGTACTTTCTTCCCCTTTGTAGTTGTGTCCACCCATCTACTCTCCTTACAAATCGGGCAATTCGGCATGGAACCGTTCTCCTTCCAAAACAAAGCACAATCATTTTTGCAAATGTGGATCGATTGATATCCTAACCCTTTCTTTCTCAACTTCTTTTTAGCTTCATAGTGTGAAGCTGGAATTTTGCTCTTCGTGAAAGCAGCTCTTAGCAACTCTATAAGTTGGCCAAACGAACTATTTGTCCATCTATTGATCACTTTAATATGCAACAACTTTGCCAAAAAGTTGGCAGCCATATCGCTACATTCAGGGTATAACTTGGTGTTGAGCTCCTCAAACAAATCATCAAATTTCGGGTCTATACCTCGCCCCTCCTCGTCTATATTTTCTTGATTTGTATTTTGTTCAGCCATAACATCATCAATTACATCAAACATCTCATTAGTTGTGGGCGTGTTTACTAGAATGTTTGTTCTTAGAGTCGAATTGTAGCTTAAATCCGAAGAACTGACATGATTCTCACCGTGATGAATCTACGTAGTATATGTTTCTAGAAACCCAATGTCATGTAAGTGGGCATAAACCTAGGCAAAACATGTCGATGCAAATTCACACACGTTTTGCACGGGCAACGTACTTTGCCTTTGGAGTTGACATGTTTCTCAGCAATCTTCATAAAGTTTTTAAGACCTTCCAACTATTTTGAAGACATTCGGTTCTCTCCAATCCAACTCTTATCGATTATCATTGCTGTTTCATTATTAAAAATTATATTATATATAGTTATCGAAAGTTAGATTGTATTTGGGCTATATAAAATAAATATATACCCGAGAATGAATAGAATATTCACAAGTATATAAAAATATATATACTCGAGAAGTAAAAATCAGACAGATTGGATAGAGTATTCACAATGGTTATGCAGAAGAAACTTAAACTAAAAATCAACGATTCAACGTGTTTTAATAAGAAAATCATATCAATTTGATTTTATAATTAATTTTATTTTTTTAATATTAATATTAATTTGATTTTAAAACTAATTTAATTTAATTTTATAATTATTTTGATTTTGTTTAAATTAATATTAATTTGATTTTAAAACTAATTTAATTTGGTTTTGCAATTAATTTAATATTTTGTTTTTATTGATTTTTTTTAAATTAATTCACCTTTACTTTATAATTATTTTAAAATTACTAAAAGTATGTTGCTATTAATAACCTAATTAAGCTAAAGTCGTAATAACCAACATCAAGTCACTAACAAAACTAAACACTTTGAAACCATATTAAACACATTACAATACAAACAATAACAAAA